AAATTGAATGGACAGAGAACGAGAATTGCTGCCAATAATAAAAAGAAGAAAAACTGCTTATCTGGATCATATATTCTAAAATTCCAAGTATAGAAGGAAAAAGGAAGATAGAAGGAAAACAGGGCAACGGAAGAAAGAAATACTCATCGCTTAAAAACAAATGGAATTGGCCAAACCTCGATGCCCATGCACTCTTTAGAGCCACACAAGATCGAGAGGAGCATGCCAGAATTGTCACCAACATCCACTAATTTAATCGGACACCATAAGAAGAAGGAGACAGACAAAATTATAAATCAAAAGTGTTACTGCAAAATCAGGAATATTAAACCAAATATAAAATTTCAGGACGTTTGTAAAGAAGCATTTTTAATTTAGTACTAATATCACAATGGTTAACAAATTGTTTATTTGAATTGTCTAAAAACAAATTAAATTAAATAAAAACGTCGTTTTTGAGTGATCATTTGACGAGTACTTTTCAAACTGTCAATATACTTATAAATAGTCTCCTTAGTAGGACGGTAGACATGATAGTGTTTACCGTCATGGTAAGGTCCATAATCCAAACGAAGGAAAAGGTCATGCACAATAACTCAAGCATCTAGCGTATTAATCAATATTAAAAAAAAAATAAGTTTATTGACAAGACACTCAGAAAATGTTACTTAAGAACGACGAGTACTAAATCAAACTGGCCATAGCTGTCTAGAATTGTTCATTTCCCCTTAAAACTCCCTAGTGATTGTCCCCATATAATTTTCCACACTCCTTGATGTCAGACGTGTTACTTTCAGTCCCTTTTCGCGGTCCACCTAGTTATAATCCGAAGCGCAGATCTGCCATAGGATGGCTCAACAGGGCACCGTCCATGAGTACCCTAGCCCTACCTCCAAGTCCTTGTCCTAGTGACAGATCCTCAGCACCTTTCAGTTCAGCCAGTTCCAGCCTCTCGGAGGGAAGCGCTCTGCCCGGACACGAGACTGATACAGCCAGTATTGTGACAGGTAACGTATATTTTACTCTTTAAGTATATATTTCGTAAAATGCAGTAGATTTTGTAAAGAATATGAGAATAAAATCTCAAATATTATTATAATAGACAGGCCACGTCTCTCTGGAATCAGGACCAAGGAATTTTAGATATCTCCTTGTTATAAAAATAATTTGTTATTATATACACAAGCAGTAGTTTATAACTTACACAATATAGAACTTGTGCCGCTCGTGAGTTAGTTAAATTTACAGTTTAAATGTCGGTGTCCTCTGTTGACAATCAACATATTGTAACACTTTAATCTAGGTGTCTGTTTACTAAACTTAATAGCCTACTTGCCTCGCATTTCTCCTGCACCGACTCCTAACGTCACAACAGATATTTTTTTAGTATATATTATATATTAAATATTGTGTAAAACAACACAATACAAGTAAAAGTAGAAGAAGAACTAACCAACCCTATTGAAGCTGGCAATAGGATAAGATAGGGATATTGTTCAACCTTATTATGGATAAAATAATAAAAAAAAAGTATATATATATATTCGGTTTTATAACGTCTTACGACGTTGTCCGACTCCCAAACGCCACTGTATTCTGTTTTGAGTTAGGTCTTCGTCCAGATTTCGAGCGCTAATCGCTTTCCTAACTCCCAGGTTCCAGCTCTGTGGTGGTCTTCCTCGTTTCCTCTTCTCTGGGGTTGCCACATCATCGTTTTTTTAGGCAATCTTTCGTCCCCCATTCGGCTCATATGCCCATACCATATGAGCTATTTTCTCTCAATATCCTCAACTATAGTGCCCTCTATACCCATTTGTTGTTTTATCACTTCATTCCGTATTCTGTCGGCTCTTGATATTCTCATCGATCTTCTGATGTCATCTATTTCCGTGGCTTCAACCTTTTTCTTATATTTCTCGGTTATTCTCCATGTCTCAGCTCCATAAAGTAAGCTAGTTTTAACCATTGTCTCATAGATGTTCCATTTTCTTTTCTTTACTCCACAGAACTCCGTTCAAACATGCTATAACTCTTCGTGCTTGTACAATTCGATGTTCTATTTCTCGTTCGTCTTTACCACTACGGTCGAAGATGACGCCCAGGTATTTATATTCGTTGCATGGATTTATTTTTTGATTGTCATCGATATCGAGTTGTTCTGCTTCAGCTCCAATTGAGAGGTATTTTGTCTTTTCTAAATTGATATTTAATCCTCATTTCTGTTATTCTTTAATTAGTTTTCTTAGCATGTATTCCATGTCGTCTTTGTCATTTGAGATCACCACCTGATCATCTGCAAACTGTAAAGTATATATGTAATCCTGATCGTTCAATTGTATACCCATTCCTTTGACTTTCCTTTTCCATTGTTTCAGAGCTGCAGAGATATAAATCTTAAATAGAGTCGGAGAGATACAACATCCTTGTCTGAGACCCTTAGTAACTGCAAATTTTTCAGCTAAGAGGTTTCCGAATTTCATTTGGGAATTTGAACCAAAATATAGATCTTTGAGAGCACTAACCAATGTTTGATGTATGTTTGATGTGCCCAGGACTTCCCATAGTTTATTTAGCGGGACTGTCAAAATTTTCTTTTCTGTAATTTGTTTAAGACAGGAGATGTTATCCGTACATGAACGACCTGCTCTAAATCCTCCTTGTTCTTCGTCTTCAGACGATTGATAATCTTCCTCTATCAGGTCCCGTAGTATTTGACCGTATAGTCGACTCATTGAACTTGTGACCGATATCCCTCTATGGTTTTTACAATTTCTCCTGTCGCCTTTTTTATATATTGGGGTCATATATGCTGTTTTTCATTCATCTGGTGTTGGATGTCCATTAATATATTCGTTAAATATCATCGTGATCATTCTGTGTAATTTCTCTGAGCCATTCTTTATTAATTCCGTAGTTACTCCCTCTGGTCCACTTGCTTTCCCATTCTTCATCCTTGCTATAGCTTTTTGAACTATGTTGATATCTATGGTGATATGCTCTCCCAGAATTTCGATTCTTGATGAATTCATATCTTCTTTAAGTTTGTCTCTGTTCTCATTTAATAGATGTTTGTAATAATGTGTCCAATCCTTGGGATTTATGGGATTTAGAATCACTTTCTCGTTAGTCGGCTTCTTAACAGAGTTTACAAATATTGTTCTGAAGCTATTTTCTTGTGGCATTTTAAATTAATTACTATTTAACTGGGAATAAGCCGCAATTAAAGATAAAAATACGTTTATTGACGTTTCAATTTCCACTTCGGAAATCGTTCTCAAAATACAAACAGTAAAGTAAACAAATTTTGTTTTTTGTTACATAGTGAAAAATTCTTCTAATAATTTAATTTTATCTGACTCATTTATATTGACAATTCAGACATACATTATGCATTTTAAAGTAGACGACTTTAAAATGATATTGCCAATATTGTTGAGTTGCGCTCCTGGGACGACTTTGCTTATAAGATTACATGAAATCAACTTTAACTTGAGAATATCCGTTAGAAAAAAATCATAGCATGTAATTCGTCTAGTTAAAGATTGGTTATACTAAGGTTAGTAAAGATGGTAAGAGACGGTTCCCCAATAGGGAGACGATCAGTAGGAAGACCACGAAAATGATGGAAGAACAACTTACTGGCTACCTGGCTTACTGGCTACTTATGCGCTACTTAGCAAAGTAGCGCATACTTCCGTAACGCTTGCCTTAGCATTTTACTATACAGAAAACAATAAAGAAAACGCCAGTATAGAAGCTCAGCAACAATATGTGTTATAAATAAGCAAAAAATGTGTATCATTTAAAAAATGCCATTACGTGCAATCTTGAACATTTTTGAAGTGAAGCATTCAATGCTGGCGTTGTATTACCTTTTTTATATAGTAGAATTCTGAAGTGAGCGTCACGGAAGCACCGCCACGATTTGCATCACGGAAGTATCGGCTTGGTAAGACGCTGTAAACAGTTGAAAATTTATTGGTAAACTCTTTTAATTTTATTAAAATCTATAACAAGGATATTAACGAACAGCGCTTTTTTGTAAGTCTTAAATATTATTATTTTTAAGTTATTTGATTCATCTATTTATTCAAATCATCTATAGATGCGTGGTTAATAAAATCACAAGTGTAGTTAAAATAATAAATAAAGAACAAAATTACTTTGAATTTCAATATATAATTTGAATTTAAAAAAAAATGTTTAACAGAAAAAATGATTTTAAAATTAAATTTAACAAAGTTTTTGTATTCAAAATATTAAAAAAATCTATTTTGTACAAATTATTATCAATAATTACACTGTAGTGGTAATTTTCATTAAAATCTATTGCATTTTATGATTGATGTATAGCATGTGCATAAGTGAATGTCCTTGAATGTTAATTTTCTAAATTAACATAAACTTGCTCTAATTCAGGAATGGCTCACTTAGACCTCTCTATTTTGTCCAATTTCTACTTTTAAATCAGATCATTAAACCAAATCATTATTCGTTACAAATTCATCTTCCACACAACACAGTAAAACATTTAAAAAATATATATATTTAAATAAGTATTTAAATTTAAATTTGAACAATCATTTTAGTATATTCTTTTAAATTATGAATAGGATGCCATCAAAGTAAAAATTTGGTATAGTTTTTCTAAACAACATAAGAATCTGAAACATTTTAACGAATATCGGAAAGCATTTTGTATAATTAATAATATTTACCGTATGATTTAGTTACCATGATATAAACAAAGTTTCTGTAATGTAAGGACATAAAGAAATCCCAAAAATTTAATTTTAACTAATTTTAGCGGTACTATATCCAATTTTGATTAAACTTTTTTGCAAAAAATTGAACTAAATAGTAAAATTTTTAACCTAAAGTTTTAATAAACAATTCTAAAAATACATGTTCTGTTGGACACATTTCTCATCCACATAACATTAACCTTGTGCCTTTACAAATGATTTGATGGTACTCAGTGTTCGCACTGGGTGTTACAGATAAAAGCCTGGGCGACACAAGCGACATCATCAGCGACAGTTCCGGAGTGGGTACCGCCAATTCGGACACGACCAACTGCACCATCTGGATGCCTGGCAGCACCGTCGTCTGCATAGAATCCTATACATCGAAAGAAGATGGTCATATCAGTATAAGAGAAGGAGATATTATAGAAGGTAAGATTTTATTGTTTTAATTAGTATATGTTACGACTGTTTGCCTATCCATCCAAGTCAACAGCCATGTTGGTGCTGGAGAAGTAAGAACCGAGTTTATATATTTTAGACGCTTGGGATTTCAAAAATGTCTTCCCTTTTTAGTTAGTTTTTCTGTCATTATTCCAGAAAATTTACGTGAGAAGTGTTCAAAAACTGCTTCATATGAACCAATTTGATATACAAAGATGGTAATATTTTCTTTTGCATATTTTTTAATATTTGGTAATTTTTTCTTTTGTAACTAATGGTTCCTTTATTATATTTGGTTTTCCAACAGTTACTAAAGGTTAATCTTTTTTAGTGTTAATTTTTTTGTAGTTGTGCAAAGTGGTAGACCTACCAATGGTTATTGACCCAAATTTAATACCACTGTAGAAAAGGGCACATTCCAAACTACATATTGACCTGTCGATAAAAAGGCGCCATTAATCTGTTGTGTATTTTAAAGACTTAATTGCAAAACTTTATGTTATGACTTCTGCAACATTAAATTATTTTTCTTTTTGTAGAGCTGTGTTATCAAACGTTGGTAATCAGATAAGATGTCTTAAGGCACCAATCTTGGAGATTATGGGACCATGATTGTCTTCTCTAGCCAAGGTTTTTCAAACTATCTTTACTGTATTACGAAGTGTAGAAGGTTGTATTTACTTACCATTTGCTGTAGAAAGTTTCTCACCATTTGCTCGACATATTTCAGCTTTGAGAACGCTTTAGGTTATCTGTAATATTATTTGCTACAGTTACATCTCAAATACTTGTCAAACTCATGTAATATCTTTATTAAATGAATTATTTTAGGTTATAGAAGACAGCTCTGGTTATCGTCTTAATGACCATTTTTATTTTTGGCTCATATTCCAGTTGTCATTAATGTATGCGTACAAATTGGCAAATTTTTAACTCTTTCTTGCTCTATTTCATACGCTCAAATCTATATTGATAGCACCTCTGTTTGGATGTCCACCAGTCTCAAGATATTGTCTCTAGCAATTGTTGTTTCTCTTTATTGTCATTTTTTGCTAAATAGAACAACTCTCCTATAATTGTTACAGTCCTGGCTATTTCCTTCCTTGTAAATGAGTACTAACAGATATAATTGTTAACATTGGGATCCTTTTAATTTTTAAAGAAAAAATAATAAAGGTAATCTAAATTATTAAAACAACCTTAATTTATTCATAGTCCTTGCTGCAACTGACGATGGCTATCTTGAGGGAAAAATAAAGAGTGGTGGTGGCCGCACTGGTTACTTTCCAGCGTCGTGTGCTCAGGAAGTTCGCCTACGTCATCACAACATCCAAGCTCCGATGATGGTAGCGAAAGATCCGAGACCTCCTAGCCAGACCAGCAGCCGAGTACTCGGTAGGAGGGAGAGCACCTCGAAGCATTTTGCTACTGCTCCAAGAGCAACAAAGAAATCGTAAGTACAAAAAATAATTATGTATATCCATTATGTAAAGTTAGTTGAGTTAACAAACAACCAAAACGAAATCACACAAATTATATTTTGACCAATATCAGTTAATTTACAATTTACCAATTGGTTAAAAGCACAATAATAATTGAAAATAGGGGTTATTGCACATTTAATTCTTCATCTGTTTCCTTTACCAAAAAGTATATTTTTTAGTTCTTTTCCGTAGACATCAATGGGATTTTTTTACATAATGAGCTTTATGTTCGGTTTCTGTACTCTTTTTAGAATATGGCTTACCATGAACTTTCAACAAACACAACAATTGATGAAATTAAAGAAATGCATAGCTAGACAATAAAAGACAATATTATAATTCATATAATAAGATAAGATACAAATACTAGACGGAAAAGGAACAGTAAAAAGTTGCGTGAAATGCAAAAGATAAAATAAAATTGCAGAAATCTTACAAGAATTTACTAAAGCTTAAACCAAAGGACAATCCAGAAATGAGGTCCCCAATAAGCTCCAACCGTATGAAAAGGTGTGAGATGAAATTTGGCAACACCGCTGCGCGCAACTGTTTCCCACTCTTGTTTCCCCAGTTGACCAGTGCATTTCATACGAATATATTAGCAACATGGCAAATAGTACTACATATTTGAGTTTTGTAAAAAGGTGCTGTATTTAAACTGTGAAAAGTTTTACCATAATGGTTGAGCAATCAACAAAAAAGTGTTTCAGCGATCAAAATTAATGATTTAGTCAAGAAAATTAAAAACCAAATGAAAGTATTCGGAGAGAACTATATATATATATATATATATATATATATATATATATATATATATATATATATATATATATATATATAACGAGTTTATTACAGCTGCCGCCGTTTCTCGCAACCTAGCTTCCAACGCTTGCGATCGTTCCAGTGATCTACTTGTAGACCCCTATCTTCCATTGCACCTTTTACTTCTTGTCTCCACGATCTTCTTGGTCTTCCCTTTTTCCTGCGGTTGGTGGGGATCCACTGTAACATTCTCTTTGGCCATCGTTGATCATTCATCCTTTCTACATGGCCATACTATTTCAGCCTTTTGCATTCTATAGTTTCCAGAATGTCAATGCTATGCCCATACGCTCTCTGATTTTAGTATTCCTTACTCTATCTCTTCTAGTGAGTTGGCAACATCTCCAATATTTCATTTCCATTGCTTTTATTTTGGATGCGTCATTTTTATTTATTATCCAAAGCTCTGAACCATATGTAGCAATGCTTTCTATGATACTTTTGTATATCCTAATTTTTGTGTTTCGGGAGATGTGGTTATGTCAAAGTATACTATTCAGTTGACGTATTGCTGAATTTCCTTGACCAATTCTAGTAGCTATTTCTTTTGTATTCCGACAATTGATTGTAATGTTTACACCGAGATATTTATAGCTATCAGTATTTTGAATTTGTTTGCTTCCTAGTTCTAAGTGCTTTCCTTCACCTCCCACTACTACGTACTCTGTTTTTGATGGATTAATTGATAAGCCCCACTTAGTATATTCTGCATCTATTTTTCGTAACATGTAGTGGATATTATCTTGATCTTCGGCAAGTATTACTTGGTCATCAGCAAAATGCAAGCTGTACAGTGTATAGTCTCAATTTTAACACCCATAGGTTCACATTTTCTTTTCCAAATATCCAAAATCCCCTCCAAATAAATCTTAAAGAGTGTAGGTGCAATGCAGCAGCCTTGGCGAAGTCCTTTGGTAACTTTTATCTTTTTTGTCACTTTTTGTCCAATCTTTATTACACTCGTCATATCATCGTACAACTCCCTTACAGCATTAATGTAAATCGGTGAAATATTCTTGTCTTCTAGCACGTGCCATAGCTTGGGTAATGGGATACTGTTATACGCTTTTTGAAGATCAATAAATACCATGTGTGTCTCCATATTATGTTCCAAACGCTTTTCTATTGTTTGTTTTAGGCAGAACACATTGTCTATACAAGAACGACCAGTACGAAAGCCACTCTGACCTTCAGCGTCTTCCCAACAATCTTCAGTTCGGCTTTTAATTATCTTCCCGTAGACTCTACAGATTTAGTTAGTTACACTAAGCCCTTGGTAGTTCTTACAATCTTTTCTGTCGCCTTTATTTTTGTATAGATTACTGATATATGCAGTTTTCCATTCTGGGGGAGCTCTTCTCCTCTCAAGAATAAATTAAAAGTATTAGCCAATAGCAGAAATAGTTTGTCAGCGCCATACTTAATCAGTTCAATGGGTACTGCCCCCGGTCCTGGAGCCTTTTCATTTTTCATAGCGTTGGCATGATTTTTAATTTCTTCTGGTGATATCTCAGTTTCTTCGCGGTAGGAAATATCATATTTTTTGTAGCCAATATATTGGAATTCTGTTTGATCTTCTGTCAGCATTTGTTCATAATATTCGACCCATAATTCTGGGGCTATTAGAGTTAACCTACTTCATTTTTTATATCTGTTCCACTACCTCTAATTGTAGAGAACTTATACCCTTAAAAAAAATTAAATTTTCGTAAGGGATTTTCTCTCATCAAAATGTAGGTTACGTTGGCGAAAAAACGGAAATGGAATCACGTTAATGGAAAAATCACAAGATATGACAACAGCGTAGACAATGATGATACCCTAGCAACTTTTAGCTACATGCGGCTTTAAAGTCTAGTAACACTGTGCAGACGAAACCTATGAAATATACAAACATAAACAAAAATGTGCATGGTAGCGAATACAATAAAATTTCAGTACAAATATTATTTAAATACAGCAAATTATGGCTAAAAAAAAATGACCGTAAAAAAACTTCACTAAGAAATCAAGAAATTAAAACACACGATGGCACGAACAAACAATACCAATAACAAATTAGTATCCCTTACTATGCCCGTATCCTTACATATAACAATAATAATACCAGACACCAAATTAGAAGATGTACAATCGATGATACAACATTTTCCAGAAGCAAAATATTTAATCCATAAATCACAAAATCCAGACTCTTATACATCATTTAAAGTAACTTTTGTATACTGAAATTTAAGGAAAGCTTGGCAGCTAATCTAGCTTAGCGAGATTACGTCTTAACCATTTACCATCAAGTAAAAGGTGACCAAATTCCAGCTCCAAATATACCCGATGCTGAGCAAAAATGGCAAGTGACTCTGCTTGCAAGTCATGTGGCTTCTCCAAGAAGTCAACACAACCAAAACTTGAAAGATTCAACTTATAGCAGGATTTCGAATCTTACAAATAAAGAAGAGCAGTGTATAGACATTAGATCTTTACGAGCATGTCGTTTTACGAGCCTAGTCATAAAGAAAGTCCAGAAAAAATCTGCTATCTTAATTACAGGTTCCCATAAAAAAAGATTTAGAAAGTAGTTTGTCAATACACAAAAAGGAAAGTGTCTCAAAGGAAATTTCTTATTTGGAAATTAACAATGTCTCTTACACAAAAACAAGGGAAAAGAAAGCAAAAGGTATTGCTAAAAGGAAATTAATAATCAATATTAACAAGAAAGGTGTTAAGAACCAGGATTCTAGTTTAGCTGAAGAAAATGAAGAACTTGTCTTAGATAATGATTCTGACATGCATTTCGACACTGGGAAAGAGGAAGCAAAGTTTATGTTTTATTCTGGACTCTTCGCGGGATTAACAATGCATTGAGTATTCAAAATGCTTGAAATACAGCCGGTTTCCGAAACGTTATTCAAATCTCCAATCATGTAATCAAGTGTCAAATTTGATCAACTGTTAACAAGCGGCAGGTTTCCGAAACGAAAATTAAGGTAAAATTAGGTGATCACCGATTATAGATTATTTGACATACGATTTTACATGGAAACTGTAGAATCGATTATAATCGTTTATTATTTCTGTACGAATTGTTCTTTATCTTGCTCTAAATTAAGAAAATAATGTTGCTGTTTCACTCTACCGTCATTTCTGTTTATGTGTAATCTGCATTCTGAAAATCAACAAACAAACATAACCTAACTATTAATTTTGTGTCGTTCGTTAATGTTTGCCAATTTGTCATTTATCAATCATCATCTTCAATTAAAATGAGCCAAAAATTGAGTCCTCGCAAAAATTATACCGAACGGGAAAAATGTTTGTTATTAACAATTATTGAGAAGTAAGTATTTTACTATATTATAACTACTTATTACAATTTGAGAGTATTTAATATTCATTGGTATTAAACCAACTTTAATTTTCTCTTTTCAGATATAAACACGTGGTAGAAAATAAATGTACAAACGCTTTGTCTGTTTCGGAAAAAAACGGCAGCCTGGGAAAAAGTAGCCTTAGAATTTAATGCCAGCGCTGAAACCCCAAGGTCTGCCAAACAATTAAATACAGCATATTTAAATTTAAAACGACTAACTCGACAAAATGTCTCACAAGAAAATGTAGGTATATAAGTGTATAAAATTTTCCGATACGGCCGGTTTCCGAAAGGCTGATCATTATCAAAATTAGGTAATCTACTGTTAACAGTCGATTAAATGCATTTTGAGTTGCAGAAACATCGATCAAACTTCAATCACATAACACACATTAACTAATCTAACAAGCAAATAATCTACGATTAACAGCCTGTCAGCAGTATTTTGGGTTTCCGAAACGCTAATTATCGTTTTATCTATGTCAAACAACTGTCATACTAGCTTGTCAGGTAATCTGAGATTTTTGGACGATTAATCTTATAATCTTTGGTTATGTATCAATGGTTGTAAGTAAATAAAATAAAATCTTTGGTTACGTTGTTAATACATAAACCTAAGGTGTTTTATAAAAAGCTGTTGTTTAGAAAGAACTCAAAAATATTGTTACAAAGGTAAACAATTTACTAATATTTAATAGATTTCAGAAATAATTGAAACTTTTTTTTGTAGAACATGTCTATCACTGATATTTCCGATATTTCTTTGTCCAGTGAGGAAGAAAATGAGGTCCCCAGAATTAACCGCAGGATTAGAATGGATCCTATGACCCACTATAACGACAGTGAATTTAAAAATCGGTACAGAGTATCCAAGGAAGTTGTAATTAATATTAAGGAGTTACTTGGAAATATTGAACCAGCAACCCACCGCAACAACTCAATTAGTGCCATTGAACAGATCCTACTGACAATTAGCTTTTATGCTACTGGAGCATTTCAAATAACTGTAGCTGATAATGTGAGGGTGCACAAATCAACAGCCAGTCGCATTATCAAGAAAATATCTCTTGCTATAGCTAGGTTAAGACCAGATTTTATACAGATGCCAGCAACAGCAGAGGAGCGCCTCAATATTAAATCAGGTTTTTATGCAATTGCGAATTTTCCTAATGTGATTGGTGCTGTTGATTGTACTCATATTAAAATACAGTCAGTTGGTGGTCCAAGAGCAGAACTGTTTAGGAATAGAAAGGGTTTTTTTTCACTAAACACTCAGGCGATATGTGATGCACAGTTAAGAATTAGGGACATAATTTGTAGATGGCCTGGTTCTGTGCATGATACAACCATTTTCAATGACAGTCACCTGCGTGCTGACTTTGAAAGTGGCGTGTACGGCAATGATTTTCTTTTAGGGGACAGTGGATATCCCTGCCGAAATTATCTCTTGACTCCATTTTTACAACCTAGGAACAATAGTGAAGAAGCCTATAATAGAGCCCAAATCGCGACAAGAAACCCTATAGAAAGGTGTTTTGGGGTGTTAAAGCGGCGCTTTCCTTGTTTGTCAATGGGGTTGCGAGTTCAATTAGATACCGCTATGAATATTGTTATTGCCTGTGCCGTATTACACAATATAGCCCTCAATCACAATGATAATGTTGATGATATGATTGATATTGAAGCCTTGATTGATGAAGATGTGCAGGGGGTTGCTGGAATAAATGAAAATACAGCTGCACGCTCCTCTTTACTGCAGACCCATTTTAATAGGTATGTATTTGAAATTAAAAATTAACAATTTATGTCAGTTTCAAAAATTATTTTTCATTATTTCTATTAAAAAAACTTAAATTCCACTTAATATATTTTATTTTTTTACATTTAAAAGCGCTCGTCTCTTTTAAGCAATTTACTAGTTTTGTTGTCACTAATAACTATTTTTTTTTTTTAATTTAAGTACTTACCTAATATCCTTTCTTTTTTAGGTGATGTCCAACACACATCAGTTAATTATAAATAAATGTTATTTTTTGTAAATACACTGAACATTTTTCATTTATGTTTCCCGTATAAAAGTTGTTGTTTTCAGTTCCAATGTTTATAATTTATTAGTTTGTCAAATAAAAATTTTACTTAAAATTTATTCTCTCTTTATTTAAAACCATTTTTTCATCTTAATGATTTTTTATGGAATCAATAGATTTCGAGAAAAAGAAATTAAATACAATATGCTATGTGATAACTTGTTTTAATTTTTTTCTCAGAATATAAAATTTCCTATATAGACCAGAGAAATTAGCAAATAAAAAGACATGACACTCTTTGATATAGGTATCTAACAATAAATAGGCCAATCAATAGGCTTTTGATAAATTTGGTGATAATAATATGTTATAAACAAAATATGCAAAAGATTTAATGTAATTTTTTACTTATAAACATCAGATAAACAATGTTAAGATCGCTATTTGATTTTAAATACTAAAGGTAAATCGGCAAATTATATGGAAAAGATAGATATACGACAAAATGTTACTGAAAAAAATATATAAAATCGTTTATGAATAAGTAAAAAAGTATGTTTAATCTTTTCCATATTGTGTTTATTACATATTGTTATCACCAAATTTCTCAAAAGCAGTTATTAGATACCTGTATCAACAAATGTCACGAAAAAATACTAAGTTCTCTGGTCTATTGTATTCTATGAAGGTTTCACTTATCTACTTGTAAAGGTGAAGGTGTACAACAGTTTTTGATTTGTGCTAAATTAATTTACAAAAATAAACATTTATCCTCTTACATCAATTAACAATGGTATAAACATATAGGTATCTAAAATTAAACACATTTTTAATTATTCTTGTTTTTTTATTAAATTTTCAAATTTTATTTTGTTTATTTTTATCTCTAAATCCACTAGAGTCTGTTTTTTTATTTCTATTTTGTGTGCTGCCAGTTTGGTTCTTTTTTCAATAATTGCACCTTCCAGTTTTTTTTTATAATACATCCTTTTCAATGCATCAGTTTTTAAAACTCTCTTTTGCATCACTTTCTTCCTCATTTTAACAGCTGTTCCTGGATCTTTTTTAGGCAGCACACCTGATGTACCAGGTAGTGATACTGATACATTTGGTTCAGTATCAGTACATTGATCTACTGGTGAAATGAGTATCATACCTGATACATCAGTATCCAGCTCCATTTGAACCTCTGGTACAACTGTAAAAATAAGTTACATGTTTTAAATGCACAATAGCATATTTTATATTTTTAAACCCTTATAGGGTAAATTATAGTTATAGGATAAATCCATACCAAGTGGTTACAAATATATTAATAAATGCATGTAGCAAGTTATTTATGGATTTAATTTGTAGGCTAGATTGTACTTTACTCAATATAATTTGTTTGCAAACATCCATAACCAAATAATTAAAAAAAAAACGTAGATGCCTGCAAACACCAAAAATGTTGTGCGGATTAAAACAAAAATGGCTGCCAATCGCAAATAGTGACCAATACAAATTTAAAAAAAAAAGTTTTTGGCTTACCACAGCTAAGGGTATTTACTCATTAAATATCAAAATTTTCTAAGATGGTCAAGCAACAAATTAATTTTTTTCTGGAGCACTGGGTATGGATTGACCCTATAACCCGATAAAATATGTAACACATCCATGATCAATTAGTTTATTTTATTTAAATCTCTGTTTATCAGGAGTCTATAGAAAAATTCAAATTCTAGATAATTCTTTTATTTTTCTTTCATTTCTAATGTTACTACCTTTCAGATAGCTAATAACAGTGTGTAACCATATAGCAATCAACATTTATATAATCTAGTCACAGAACCACATATAGGTAAAAGGAAGAATTGTAAATATTTTAACAGAAGAATTTGGATAATAGTCTTCGAAATAATTCTACATTATACATAATATTCTACATTATAATAATATTAGTATTAATTTTGATCCCCACAGACATCTCATTAAAAGTGTTTCATAGATGTCTAATTAACAGAGAGTTAATTAAAAAAACCAAATAAATGCAAAACTCACCGGATGCATGGTAGGAAGATGCACTATCACAACTGTTGGGTAATGGTTGTATTTGATTGCCCATCAAAGCCAACATTTGTGCTCCTACCTCAGTTAATAAGGGTTTAAATGTTCCACCACCCGTTGCAAGTATGGCTTTCTAAAAACATTTTTATTGTTAGTTCATTGTTTTGTAAAAAATATTTTTGAGTACAGTAGTGATTACCTTATCTGCTGCTTCGTCTTTTTTATGTTGGTCCAGTGCCTTTTTTTCCAAGTACTTTTGCATCTGAAATGTTAAAATATATCACGAAACTCATAATTACTGTACATATATAATTAAATAAATAGAAAATTTTATACACTTATATACCTACATTTTCTTGTGAGACATTTTGTCGAGTTAGTCGTTTTAAATTTAAATATGCTGTATTTAATTGTTTGGCAGACCTTGGGGTTTCAGCGCTGGCATTAAATTCTAAGGCTACTTTTTCCCAGGCTGCCGTTTTTTCCGAAACAGACAAAGCGTTTGTACATTTATTTTCTACCACGTGTTTATATCTGAAAAGAGAAAATTAAAGTTGGTTTAATACCAATGAATATTAAATACTCTCAAATTGTAATAAGTAGTTATAATATAGTAAAATACTTACTTCTCAATAATTGTTAATAACAAACATTTTTCCCGTTCGGTATAATTTTTGCGAGGACTCAATTTTTGGCTCATTTTAATTGAAGATGATGATTGATAAATGACAAATTGGCAAACATTAACGAACGACACAAAATTAATAGTTAGGTTATGTTTGTTTGTTGATTTTCAGAATGCAGATTACACATAAACAGAAATGACGGTAGAGTGAAACAGCAACATTATTTTCTTAATTTAGAGCAAGATAAAGAACAATTCGTACAGAAATAATAAACGATTATAATCGATTCTACAGTTTCCATGTAAAATCGTATGTCAAATAATCTATAATCGGTGATCACCTAATTTTACCTTAATTTTCGTTTCGGAAACCTGCCGCTTGTTAACAGTTGATCAAATTTGACACTTGATTACATGATTGGAGATTTGAATAACGTTTCGGAAACCGGCTGTATTTCAAGCATTTTGAATACTCAATGCATTGTTAATCCCGCGAAGAGTCCAGAATAAAACATAAACTTTGCTTCCTCTTTCCCAGTGTCGAAATGCATGTCAGAATCATTATCTAAGACAAGTTCTTCATTTTCTTCAGCTAAACTAGAATCCTGGTTCTTAACACCTTTCTTGTTAATATTGATTATTAATTTCCTTTTAGCAATACCTTTTGCTTTCTTTTCCCTTGTTTTTGTGTAAGAGACATTGTTAATTTCCAAATAAGAAATTTCCTTTGAGACACTTTCCTTTTTGTGTATTGACAAACTACTTTCTAAATCTTTTTTTATGGGAACCTGTAATTAAGATAGCAGATTTTTTCTGGACTTTCTTTATGACTAGGCTCGTAAAACGACATGCTCGTAAAGATCTAATGTCTATACACTGCTCTTCTTTATTTGTAAGATTCGAAATCCTGCTATAAGTTGAATCTTTCAAGTTTTGGTTGTGTTGACTCGCATTGACTGTGTTAATATAGGCAAAGACGCATTTATTTTTGATTTCTGACTTGATCGCTAATTTAATATTGTTTTCTTTATATCCAGATATAAGACTTCCTTTATCTTTTTACGGTATCTGGCATGATATTCTGATAAAAAAAAATAAAATATAATTCATTCAAAAGAATTCAAATTGTTATTTTTTAAAACTTTTTTATACTAACAAAGATTATTTCTTTTAGATTTGCAAACTTACCTGCTGAACCACGCACGGTGGTGCTTCATAAAGGCAAGAAGGGATTTGGATTCATTTTGCGTGGAGCCAAAGCCACCTCGCCCCTTATGGATTTAACCCCCTCAGACAAGTGTCCAGCTCTTCAGTATCTCGATGATGTAGACCCTGGAGGCGTTGCAGATATTGCGGGACTCAAAAAGGGGGATTTCCTACTCGAAATAAATAACGAAGATGTTTCGTCGGCTTCACACGAACATGTCGTAGATCTTATAAGGTATTATTTTCATTCCGTTTGTTTAAAATCAATTATTTACTAGCGTATATATTTTAATAGAAAATCTGGAGATCTGGTTCAAATGACGGTCATGTCTCTGGGGCCCCCTGTTTGTGGGGTTCTTCCTATGAGCAAATCGACCATTTTACCAGGAGGTACAAGCACTATTCCTTTGAGTAGTCGATTTGCTACCTTGCCGAGGAAAGCAGTAAACTATGGCGGTACGTTGGGCAGGTCAACGCAGGCCCCGTTGCCACCCAGAAGAGATCCAAAGACCACGCTCAGCGTTGGAAGAGCCAGAGCAAAGAGCATGGTTGCGGGATTAGGTAAGAGACTTTTTTTTATATTTATTTGTGTGTGTGTGTGTGTGTGTGTGTGCGTGTATATCTATGCTTTCATTACTCTCGCTAAATAATTCTACATAATCCATAATAAAATAGTCGAATTCTAACTTACAAAAGTAAATATTGATAAAATCGTCACAGTAAATATTTTTAATAATATTTGTTGTTCTTGATAGGAGGAGAAAAAGATGAGACTGATGATATAACAAAATCAAGTTCAGCGGAGTCGATACACCAATCCACTCCAGGTAGTACTTGTACCTCTACTCCGGTTCAACCCCGAACAGCGTCGATCAGACAGAGACCTTCCTCTACTAGTCTTAAACATTCTGTGTTAGAAGAACTGTTCCAGAAGCAGAAAGAGAGCAACGCCATGAGCCAAAGCTCCTTGATGAGCAGCTCCAGATTCCAATGCTCCAATTCTTCAGGTTCGCCCAGCAAGGGCAGGGTATATGCCAGTGTCGCTGAGATGAAAAGGAGTAAAAGCAAAGTAAGTATCACAATTTAAATTTATCAGTTTATTTTTGTTGTTTAAATTTTTTTTGACTACAAAATCTATATTTTTTCCGATAATTAGTTATCATCTTCATTTATTCACTAAACTCGCAAGAATTTTTTCAACACATATAGACAAGTTATAGTTTATTCGTCTTCCGGGTTTGGACCGTGTCATTTGTGAGTGACCCAAAAGTGGGTTCATCTCAGACGTTTCGCTACAATTGTATGTAGCTTCTTCAGGAGAACAAAGAAAAAAAAGAAAAAAGAAAAGAAATCAAAGGACAGGAAGATGGGTAGTTAGCAACGGTAACTCAGTTACTCAACGCAACCAGAGGCGAATACTAACTACCAAGATGGGCATTTGGTCACAGTAACTCAACTACTCAACGCAGCCAGAGGTGAAAACCAAATGCCAGGACAGGGATTCACGTCCAACAGCTCAGAACACTAACGCGTCGAGAGGCGGGGAGTGAACCCACTTTTGGGTCACTCACAAATGACACGGTCCAAACCCGGAAGACGAATAAACTATAATTCTGACTCTGGCCGTGGAAGCCTACGATTTCATATAGACAAATATTGAATTTTTGTTTTAGAACCCCAAAGTGAAGTTCACAGAACTTTTCACCGGTGGAAAAGAACTGAAACGAACCTTCCACAGCACTCCTGATTTGGTTCAAGATGTAGCTTACAATTGTCAAACGTTGCCGAGCAAATTCCATCGCAGTCAGGAGGATATTTCACTTTTACTGGGAAATAGAAGTTTACCACCTCCGAGTCATCCCCCACCACCGATACCTTCTCAAGTGCAGCTCGTTAAGGTTGACGTTTCCAGAGGAAAACACTCAGAGTATGATCACTTGAATAGGGAAATCCCAGACGAAGGTAAGGATTTTTTTGTTTAAGAACAATATAAGAATTTGAGTATTTATAGTTATCATCATCATCATCATCACCCAGCACTTTGCGTCCACTGCTGGATCTAGGCCTCCCTCATTTTTGTCCATTGTGTTCTGTCTTGAACACTTTTCATCCAATTTCTTGACATGTTATTTCTTGACTATATATTTCATTATATAAGAAACGAAACAGATCAAAATTAGCTAACTATAGACCAATATCTCTCTTGTCACAAGTTTATAAAACTTTCACTAAGGTGATCACAACTAGACTAAACAACAAATTTGATGCATACCAACCAGTTGAGCAGGCAGGATTTAGAACGGGGTACAAAACAACTGAGCACCTTCACACTCTTAAAATATTGATAGAAAATACAACTTTCCAATATACCTAGCGTTTGTTGACTATGAAAAAGCGTTTGACAGCATAGAACTATGAGCAGTGGAAGAAGCGCTAGTTAATTGCCGAATAGATTCACGGTACAGAATGTTAATCCACAATATATATCAAAATGCCACTATGAAAATTCAGTTAGACAGATATTTGCAAACTCCATTAATTAGAATTTGTAGAGGTGTTAGATAAGGGGATACAATCTCACCCAAACTATTTACTCTGGCGTTGGAAGACATTTTTAAATCTATAGACTGGGACAATAAAGAGATTTGTATAAACGGAAAATATTTAAATCATCTAAGATTCGCCGATGATGTACTCCTGATAGCAACAACTATGGAACAACTACGTATCTCAACTACTTACTACTAAGTATCTCTTAATTACTGTATACCGTTTCTCAATCTCATCATATTTCCCTCTTTCTCTACCTCTTTGACATTATTTTCCAGTGTTCATCTTTCTTACTTACATGTTCTTTTTTATTTTTCTCTGTCCTTTGTGTTGTTCTTTAACTTTATTTCTTTCTAATGTTTTCGGTGTATTTGCGTCTTTAGCCTTATAAGTCTACCTTTCTCTTTCTTTATCACCGTCTCTCTTTTTCTAGTTCTTTGTAAACTAAATGTAAAATTATTTGCAGATTTGTGATTGGTATATACTAATTTCATATTGTAACTATATCATTTTTTTATTAAACAAAATCAGAAAAAAAGACTTTCAATGCATATGAAACTTCTTTATTTTCAAATGTCTCTTAATATCCAAACTTTGGTTCCCTTTTGATTAAATCTAGCTAGACTTAACTAAATTACTTTCGAGAGAAAAGAAATGAAGGCATTTCCTTGAATATATTTTAAGTAGAAATCGTTAAATAAATTATTAACAGTTGTTACGAGCTATATTAAAGGTTACCAACAGCCATTAACAATTTGCAACAATTACTAACAGCTATTAACAATTTTTAATAGTTATTACGTGCTCATGTCTTGATTTTGTTCCTCTTCTGGGGAGGCTAGGTATAGTGTACCCAGATCTAAGATTCGTAATTCTTCTGATATCTATCGTATTTCCCGATCTGACATAACTTTTAAAATGCAAATTGCTTATAATCATAACTTTAGTTATAATAGTTGTTAACTGCTGTTGGCAGTTTTTAGCAATTATTAACAATTTTTAGCAGTTCTAAAGAGCTTTAAACAGTTTTTAACAGCTTTTTAAAAGTTTGAAATAGTTTAAACATATTTTTAAAAGTGTGTAACAGTTTAGACAGTTTTTAAACAGGTTTTAACAGTTTTTAACAGCTGTAACAGTTTTAAACAGTTTAATAGTTCTTAATATTTGTAATAGTTTTAACTGTTTTTAACAATTTTTTTACAGTTTTAATTAGTTTTAACAGTTTTTAACAGTATTTAACAGATTTTTTAACAGTTTTAATTATTGGTAATAGTTTTTAACAGTATTTATCAGTTTCTACTAGCCTTTAATAGTTTTTTAACCATTTTTAACAGTTTTTGACACTTTTTAATAGCTTTTAAAAGTTTTAAACAATTTTTAACAGTTTTCGACGGTTATTAATAGCTGTTAAAGCCTAATTTTACATTGTAATGTAAAGTAATGAAATATTAATCAATTTGTAGGTATCGTATCTTCCTTTAATCCAACAGCCAGTGCAAAATTGTATGCATCTCCAGAAGATATGAAGACGGTCGGCTACAGATCTAAAAGTTTGCCGTCTCATACATCTAAAACCCAAATCAGAAAGTCGCAGAGTATGAGAACGAATAATACCTTTAAACCGACTAACAATAATATTTCGAATAAAGTACCAGCTGACACACAACAGAGTAATCCCTATGCTCAACCAATCAGGGCTTCGAGGTCGCATTCTACTGGTAAGTTGACAACAAATTTTCTTTTAGTCAGATTGAATGATTCGTATGTAAAAAGTCCCACTATACGTATTTTTTCTTAAATATAAAATATAAAATCTTAAATATAAAATTCATTTAAAACCAGCAGCGGCTCGTGGCCTAAAAAAGTGGTGAAGATAAGGAAAGCTTGCCGGAGCCAAAGGTAGTTTTGGCTCCGCCCAAATCTCATTAAAATTTCGTTAAAAAATGTATAGAGTTTAGGCCCTAATAACTTGAAAATAGTTTTTTATGGCACTTATACTAGATACGATTCGTTCTGCTTGTCTGAGGTATTTTAGTTCTGAACCTTGACATTTCATTGAGGATTTTTTGGCGATTAAAACACCACGCCTGCTAAAACGGGTTGGTGAGGTTCGATTTAGCCGCCCACTCTGGATGAGACGCAGATGTTTAAAATACTGGTTGGTCGACCATGTAAAATAACATCCCTTTTATCTTCATTTTTCCAATGCCTAAACGGAGTCTCTAATATATTACACACCAAGTCATTAGTTGGATTCATGTCTGTCTAAAATTATTTTTGTCCAAACGAAATCCACGAGAACATTTTATTTCCGAAATCCGAAACAAACCACAGAGAAATGTATTAATAAAGTGCACTAAACAAATAAAATTAATACTGTGGCTAAACTAAACTAATAAATACTATACTATACACTATACTATATAAAAAATATCTCTATATAATAGACTAAATTTCAAAATATTGTCGCTGACGGAATTTCCGAAAATAGGAATACCAAATACAGATCTAACTAGTCGGTGAAGACGAAGAATATCTTTCTAGACGGAACTGCACTCGCCAGTTTTCTCAGCTATCACTAAGGTTAGGCTGACGTCACGTTGCCATGGCAAGCGTGAACGCTCATGCAGATGGATTTCGCATTTCAAAAATGATATTCAACTATTGCTGAATCCTACACGGCTAGTGACACAGGTCAGAACTTGACCGTCAAGTACCTACTGCTAATAAAGCTAGTTGTCTTTTTTAATTTTTAGATTAATTAAAAGAGAATAAATAATTGATTTAAGAATTTAGATATAATAATGTTGCTTTTATTTTTTATTTATTTGTCTCAATTTAATTTTTTTGTTGAACCTTACCTTCACCTACTTCACCTGCCCGGCCTCCGCTGGTTAAAACAACTTAAAAAAAAGGCTAGTCATGTCTAGATGCATCATTTCTCTATAATGCTGTTAGATTAGCTATTGATTAGATATATAACAACCTTAAACCATCAACCAGTTTATTATTATTTATAATTAATATAATCTGACGGTAAACTGAAGGTATCTCTAAATGAGCAAATCTCGATAACTTAATGATTTGGGTGTACATCAAACTGTTATTTAAAGAGAGAGTTTACATATTGTCAGTATTATTATTTCATTATTAGTTATAAATACCAAAGCATATAATAACTAATCTAGTGCTCAAATTAAATATACATATTGTAAAAATGATATAGTGACTGCCTTGCTCTGATCCGTATCTTGGTTACCCACAATTACACGAAAATCCTGCCAGAAATCTGACTGATATCGTCATGGGTTCTCATCGCAATTACTAATTCATATCTAAATAACTATAAAGTCTAAGGAGTGCGCTACAAACTAAGATGCCTTTAATCCATCATGTACCACCCATGTTCATTGAGGATGAATTTGGTGACCTTGATGGCTAAAGTGACAAGTGAGCATGCAAAAAAAACTTCTAGTGTATGAGTTAGGGTTACAGGATCTCGTTTATGTAATAATATGCAGTCATGTTGCCATAACATAATTAAACATGATTTAGAAATATAAATAACGGCTCTTCATATGAGTACTTCATCAATATCGTTAATAAATCTGCGCAAATAACTAATGAAATACAAAATAAAACATGCAAATAATATTATTTAATAGAACATAATATGTTTAATCAATGTTTGACGATTTCGTTGACGCTCAGTATTTAAATGAAATAGAATTCCCCTATAACTGTTTCACATTGAACTTGGTGGTGCAAAAACTATTTATTTTTGACTGTATTCCCTGCTCTACTTTTCATGTATGTGTTTCATCAATGCATTTTTGACTATATTTCTTTTTGATTAACCTCTTGAAGTAATGTCATACTCCACTATCCAAACTCCTCTGCAATATATTTTTAGTGATCTATAAAAAATATTTATCGTTTTTTGGTCCTTAAAAATAAAATTTGTGTAACGTATAACAACAAAAACCTAAAGTTAAAGTTATGACAATAATTTGAGCAATTTCGTACTAAAATAGATGAATATATTTTGTTTTAGGGTCGAGAGAACGGAGGAAAAAGGTAGTCTCAAGCAAATCGAATCCAAAATTATCACAGCAACCTGGAGCACCTCCGATACCAGAACCGGATTACAGCTGCACCGATTCCGAAGGGGAAAGCGAAAGCGTTCCGAGGAAAACCGATAGTTTGGCTAGTCGAATTAATAGTATACAGCTTCAAGCTACAGAAAATAGTGGAAACAGTAACGCAAGGTAGGTAACCATTGGAGAATTATCAATAATAATAAAAACCACATTTTTTAAGTCGATAGAATTCATCAAATAAAAAAATTGAAAATAATTGATATTACCTGTTCGTCTTTTTCTTAGTTTCTATAGTCACAGAGCTTCCAGCTGCCAGCTCTTTTTTGTCTTCTACCCAAATTAATGGTAAAAGATGTGACAGGTAGCTCTTTAAGAGAAGAGACTTAGTAAAATACAGGTTTACTTTTAATAAAAATATATTTGAAATAAAGAAATAACAAAATAAAATTGGAATGTTCTAAAATCTAAACGATAATTATGGTGTATTAATACACACTCGGCAAAGAGGGGAAGGGACGAGTCATAGGAATAGAGGTGGGATAGGTCAATCAACACTCGGTTCATCGAGGAGTGGACAGCGACTAATCAGTACTTAGTAACAGGAAAGAATAGGTCTGTCTTAGACCAATACTCTAAGGTCAGGTACAGAACTGCCTCTATATCAATATTCTATCGGAAGCGGTTGACCTCCAGTCAATACCCAGAGTCTCGCTGGAGTTTCTACTAGATCAGTACTCTAGCGGAACTGGACTCTCTCTAGTGGCGTACTCTGTTTTATGTCATCGTAGTCCTTCCATCTGCTGTAGCGCGGGTCATTGGAGGAGGAGTGTAAAAAGTGCTGACAAGACAGAGACGATGCACGTCGTTACAAAGACTCATTTTCACGTGTCTCTATTTTCTCCATATTCTTTATCTGCTGCGTTCACTGTGTGTCTTTCTGTATAGTTGAAAAAGCATAAGTAACGTTCAATCGTGGTAATGGACACACTTTACATTCTGTGGCGATTTATTGCTAAGTCTGCGCTCAGTGACTGCAGAACAGGAATAGATTGGTCTGCATATCCAAACTTGTTAAATTTTATTGATAGATCTCTGCTTATTACTTTGTATTTGATTGTAATAAATACTTCACAGGTCTCTTTCAATTGCAGCCTTATTTCTGATTATATTATTTTATTTTTAGTGGAAGTTCCTCGGGGAGCAGCTCGATACCGCATAGTTTTAGCGTCGAGGAAATACAGCGCGGCCGATCCCTTCTGAAATCCTCCAAATCGTACCCAGACGACCTTCTAAAGAAACAAAAAGAAGCGGATGCTGCTTTAGAAGACGGTGATAATAGCTCGTCCGGGGTCAGTTCCGATCAGGAGATTATGCCCTGCGGGAATACCGAGCTTACCGAACAAAACAGTATAGTGCACGGCAACAAAAATCAGCGGGCACAAATAGGTGAGATTTTTTTTATCGCAGATATATAATGTAACCGTGGTACTAATCGTTGTAGATGGGTGCTATTTTATATTAGAATCTGATATTATGGATCTAGTACTAATAAAAATTTTATTTATTTGTTTATTGTTTTGATGCCCTGACTTAACTTTTGACATAAAAGGTACTTACTTTTGCTCCATCTATATGTAAATAAAATAAAAAGATTTTGAAACTGTCTTCTTGATGTACGTTTTTATGGTATTAAGCCAAAATTGATTGTAATCAATTTTTGAAAACCATTTCCGAATTGTAAATGGAATCATCAAAGCAAATGTAAAATGTAGTTCCCATTACAATTAATTGTGGTTTATTCTCATATAAAATAAAATATGAGTTAACCATACCACAAGAAAACAGCTTAAGAAGCTATTGGTTCTTAATTATCATCAAGGTAGGTAGTGTTATGGTGGGCCTTCACACGGCTATTCCAGCCGATTATCCATGTTTCATTCCAGAAGAAATAAAGACTGCACATTTTTTTCTTTGTTGATAATCTTACCAATACATCAGAGCTCAGGTTCACTTCACTGACGAAAACAAAAAACGACGCCTAATAGCGGCTTCCCATGGTCGGCGATATTACGGACGTAAGCGAACCAGCACGCACCACGCACTGTGGGAAGGGTTTCGTCCGTGGTAGCGCAGGCACGTCTGTGTTGGTCCGTCCTATCCATCTAGAGTCGGTAACATCAAAGGTGCGGTACATGCTCGTGCGACGCGATCCTAGCGCGTCTGTGTTTTAACAGACAACAAGTGCAAGTCAGAAGTTTTTCATTCGCTGACACGAGTAGTTGTCTGTAGTGTTGTCAAAGTTGTTTTGCAGTTTTTTGCTAAAAAATGGAATGGACAAACGAAGTTATTTTTGATTTTGTAAATTTGTATCAAAATGAAACAAATTTATGGAATTCTACGGCACCAGAGCATAAGAAACGGAACCGATATATACGATGTATGGAACCGAACAAAAAATCAATTGAAGAATAGTACTATTTCGATTAAAGAATTAAAAAAGAAGAGAAATAATTTAATGCCGAATTTAATGTTTACAAGCCTGAGTGGCCTTTTTATGATATAATCAAACAATACTGTCGCGGACCTACACAGACTGTCACGGACGCGATGATCTGTAGAATCGCCGATCGTGGGAAGCCACTGTAACGCTAGTGACATTTCAAAATAATAAAAATATATTGTAATAACAAAATTTGTTTTAAGTACGAAATTTATGACACATATTTACTGCTAACTCTACAAGGTCGCACAATTGGTTTGATGGATGTTTATTCACGTTTTGTTTATATTTGGTATTGAATTGAATCGAGAAATGTTTGTCTATTATTATACCATATATTAAACAGCTTTTATTTTAATAGTTATATGTAATGCCTTACATATTAAAAAAACCGTGTAGGATATTCCACAGTAGCAAATATTCATAAAAAGCATTATGCTTACTTGTAAGAGAATCCAAACTATTTGGACATTTGGTTTTAAATTTATTACTGACAAACATTATATTACATACTAGATCATATCTAGAATTCCAGTAGTACCTAAAATACTTAAGTCGTCTAGTATCATAATCTCGAGTAAGGTTTAGTCTTAAAAGAGCCAATATTTATGTCAACAATTATGCTATCGGTGTGAAAGTAACCTAAGACTTGGGAATTTTCGTATCAAAACAACCAATGTTAAACAGCGCCAATCATTAGACTGTCTTTCATTCTGGTAACCTAAATATCTGAATTTAGCTCCAGTTCCATTAACAAACTTGAAGTGTTCGAAATGTGGTGCCTGCGTCGAATCCTCAGAATATCATGGCCGGACAGGGTCAGAAATGAGGAAGTACTCAGAAGAGCGGGCTTACAGGATAGGGAACTTTTTAATTATGTAAAAAGTAAGAAGACTGCATACTTGGGGCACATTATACGAGGAGAACGATACACTTTTCAGCAACTGATACTCGAAGGGAAGATAGAGGGTAGGAGAGGTCTCGGACGTAAAAAAATGTCATGGCTGCGCAATATTCGACAATGGACAGGAATCCACAGCTATGAAATGCTTCGCAATGCTGCTAAAAACAGAATTATTGAATCCAGAATATTTAACATCTCACCTGACAAGACGATGTACGGTGGACGCCTACGCAGAAATGCACGGCACCTTAAGAAGAAGAAGAAGAAGAAGAAATATCTGAAACAAGCAACATGGCTGACTTACTTTAATTAACGCTTGTATTGACACATTTTTAGATTGGGTTGAGTTAAGTTGTAAGCGTTTTAAGAGACGCACTCGTTTTTCTTGTAAGGGGAACAGGAAGAGATTTAAAGTCCTTAGTCATTAAAAATAACACCATCATACACTTGCTGTTTATTAGAACTTCAAATATAATGACCACATAGAAAATGTTTGTATAACAATGACCTACATAGTACATTACAAAATAGAAATATGCTTGGCAAACAAGGTTAATAATTATAACTGGGTTGTATTCATCGTCGTCCTACCATAATTATTATTAGCATGCATTACAAATTTATTAATAAATTCCATAATTAAACATTAAGTTTATTTGTAAGAAAAATAAGAAGATTTTTCGTTCTGCCTACTGCACGATAGATAAATCAATAGTCTGTACTTTGCATGGTGATCCTGCCTCGAAAGAATTGAAAATTCTGACCCGAGAAGAAAAATGGTAATTAAAAACTGGAAATGCGGGTAAGAATGCAAACAACTGTCAAACAACTGTAACCAGATAGACGCAAATCCTACCGACGACTTAATTATTTTAATTTCTAACATCTAGACGACTTCGATAGTTGTCACAGTTAATTTCGAGTAAAAATAGCATATGAATTGTACTATTTATGGTTGAAAATTGCTACGTTTGAAGAAAAAATAGTATACTTTATTCGGCAAAGAAGCAACTTTTCTTGACTTGCCCTCTATTACGCGCCTCACTTTGTTCGGGCGCGTCAAGAAAAGTCATGCTTCTCCGCTTCATAAAGTAATATACTCTTATAATAAAGCTCAAATATATTAAGTCAAATTATTGTCATGTCAAATCCAAACATAAATGTCCGTCTGAAGATAAATATTACTAGGCTTCACCATTTTTACTCAAGTGATCTGTTGAATGAACCAGTCAAGGGAGACTTCTTCGGAGAAGCTTTTAGAAAAAATTTTAATTCAGGCTTTTTGAGACCACGTATAGATTTGTGCTCCACATGTTTATCACTAGAGAAAAGTTAAGCGATCTGAAGTAAGTGATAAATCCAATTTAATGTATCAAAAAACTTAACTTAACTTAAAAAAAACAGCTTTATTTACATAATTTATTTACTCAAATTATTTACATAATTTGGGCATCAAACCTAATTTAGCCATTGCTGGACTTATACTAATACGAGAAATCTGGCACTGTTTATGCCAAACAGATAATATGTCAAAGGTAACTAGTACTCTGCCACAGATGTGGTAGTCAAGAGTGGTTATTCCAGGGAGCTCCAGTAAATATAAAGACAATGGAGTTATTATGGCCTGTTAGATGGCACTCATTTCTCCCTCCTTATTGAATATTTGGACTGATTGAAAGGAAAAAAAAGTCCTGCAGAATATATTAATAAAAAACACTGGACTGTTTTGTTGACCAAGATTTTAACTTTTTCTACTGGAAAACTAAGGCTGATATCTACATTAAAAGACTAAGACTATGGCATTTTAAACTTTATTTGCAGCAATTCATCAAAAACGCTTAAGACATTTTGGTGAATATTGATTAAAATTTCAACATTTTAACTGTAGTGTCTCAAAGCCTAACCAAGTTTAAAAAAAGTTTTCCCATATCAATTCAGTACCATTGTATTGTATCATTCAATAAACTTGCAACCAAATATATACGCAGTGTCAGTCCGAAGAAGTTAAAAGCCGTCATGAGTTTGCTGGAAATTAATTTTGGATTGACTCAAAAATTTAAGGTTGAAATACTACAGATCATTTTTATAGAACAGGGATTTGCCATTTTGTGGTCGACTGAACGAAGAAAATATAACAGCGTCGGTGTAATTGTATTAAAAGGTAATTAAATTTGACAATAATGGCTTTTTTCCTAGACCCATTTTAAATGACTTAGAGGCAGCGAAATTTCTGAAACAGTAACCAAAGTTACAATATTAGTATAATAATTACCAATGTTTTTAATTATTTTTGAATTGCCTCTGTAGAAAAGTGATCAAGGTTAAGATTGGCGACTTTGATAACAGACCATTCACTTGATATAAAGCTTAGTTAGTAGGACTTCCTTATTTCGCCGAACCAAGATTGACCGGTTTGAAGTTGTGAGCTCATACTTAAATCTGGAATCATTGATCACAAACTCAGTCACTACAGGAAAAATAAAACGTTGATATGCTCTAGCAAAAGTCTCCGAAGGAAAGATGGCCAAAATATGGAAGTACTCTCGAATCCCACGAACTATAAAAATAAGGTTGATTAACTGCCTAATATTCCCAACACCGGCATACAGATGCGACAAGTTAAAAGAAGAAAAATGAAATGTTCTGGTAAAGATGAACTTTACGAGTTCCTTGGGCCGAGCACAAGAAAAATAATTCAATTTTAAATGAGATTAAGCAAAGTTTATCTCCAACAGTTAAAATTTTTTTTGACATGTTATGAGAGCAGACACAAAAACCACGAAAAAAATTATTATCCAAGGAAAGGCCGAAGATCACTAGGAAGATCTTTAACAAGACCAAATTACGGGAATGTGCCACAGACCTATCTTCTTCTTACGGTGCCTGTCCGTTCCGAAGGATGGCGAGCATTCTGGCTATAATGATTTTATTGGTTGCTATACGAAATAGCTGTGTTGAGCTCATTCTATAGCATGCTCTCAGGTTAGCAAGCCAGGATATTCTTCTTCGTCCTGGGGCTCTTTTTCCTTCAATTTTACCCTGCAAAATACATTGGAGTAGCTCGTATCTGCCTTGATTTCTCATTATATGTCCCAAATACTCCAGCTTACGGCTCTTCACAATATTGACCAAATCCGCGGTTGTGTTCATCCTCCGCAGTACCTCTTCATTGGTGAAGAAGTACAGACCTATACATCGGTTAAAAGAAATGTCCAGAGACAAAGATCTTTGGACACGGACAATACATGATATTACGATGACCACTACATTCCCTTTGGGAGCCTAGAGTGAAGAGAGAGATATTTAGTAGTTTCACAAATATATTGAAACTTTTCATTAATTGATTTATATTGCGATTTAACGGTCCATTACGGTAAAGTCAAGGCTCTGTCTTTAAACACAGATTGTTGGGATAAGTTTTTGTTTAATTTTAAAGATAGAGTACTTTGTTGATCTGTGAAAATAGTGCGGTCCTGGTGAAGATTGCAGTTGTCATTCTTAAGCATACATATTGATAATAATATGTATGCTTGTATCCTGTTGTTTTTCCATAAATTTAAATAACTTTTGTTCAATAACTCGGTCAAAGGCATTTTCAAAATCTATAAATGAAATATAGTCTTCGTCTCTCAATAATCTGGTTTATAATGAACAAATTGTTGTTTTTCTTTTATAATGACTGTCAAAATTATATTTAGATAGGATCAAAATTCTCAAAAAATTAGTAGAATTCTTCTTCTTCTTAAGGTGCCTTGCATTTCTCAGTAGGCGTCCACCGTACATCGTCTTGTCAGGTGAGATGTTAAATAGTCAGGACTAAATAATTCTGTTTTAGCAGCATTGCGAAGCATTTCATAGCTGTGGATTCCTATCCATTGTCGAATATTGCGCAGCCACGATATTTTTTTACGTCCCAGACCTCTCCTACCCTCTATCTTCCCTTCAAGTCTCAGTTGCTGAAAAGTGTATCTTTCTCCTCGTAATATGTGCCCCAAGTATGCAGTCTTCTTACTTTTTATATCACTAAAAAGTTCCTTATCCTGTAAGCCCGCTCTTCTGAGTACTTCCTCATTTCTGACTCTGTCCGTCCATGATATTCTAAGCATTCGACACAGGCACCACATTTCAAACACTTAGGGAAACCGCACACAGAAAGAGCAGAACTGTTTAAGTCAAAAACGTTTTTGTTTGAAATGAAAACGTTTTTGTTTCCACAATAAACATTTTGTTTTCAAGAGATACAAATATTTTCTCAAACCATACTGCAATCAGGTTTATTAAAGATGTCGACAGATAACAACGAAATTCCACTAGTTTTCTGACAGTGGTTCCTCCAACAAGACGAAAAAACGCAAAATAAAAGACCACTTCTTATTGACTACTCGAGCAATTTCAAAAAGGGAATTCCAAAAACACGTTGCGCCTGCGTACATTGAAATGTTTCGACACAAAACGACGATCCAGTAATCAACATCAAACAGACTGACCGAAACTAAATGAGCCTAAATATGCTTTAGACACGCGACTAATCGGTGTGTGTCAGCTCATTTCATTTATATGGAAACATCAGCATCAGACTCGTTTAGTCAAAAACGTTTTTGACTAAAACAGTTTTGCTCTTTCTGTGTGCGGCCACCCTTAAGCATCTTGTATCGGAGGTTGAAGTCCAATTTGCGATCAGTCAGAAACTTACGAAGCCTCAAAAAAGCATTTCTGGCTTGTTCATCTCTGCTCTTTATTTTATTCTCGGGGTCCCAACCCTAGTTCAGCATACAACCCAAGTATTTAAATTGCCTGACTTGTTCGATTTCTTCTCCAGAGACATATATCTTTGCTTTGGGGTAATCATTTCTACTTATTATCATTTTTTTTGTCTTCTTGATATTTATTTTCAAACCCCGAGCTTCACTTGAAGAGTTAGATAATTTAAAAGGCATTGAAGATCTTCAATGTTACCTGTAACTATGGCTGTATCATCGGCATACCTGATGTTATTAATAAATAAGCCGTTAACTTTAATACCCTTATTACAGTCTGCCACTGCTTCTGCGAAGGCTTTTTCTACGTATAAATAGAACAGCATTGGAGACAGTATACAACCTTGCCTTAGTCCGTTTTAATGGAGAAATCTGTTTCGTTAAAATTTTGAAGACGTACTGTTGCTATCTGGTTCCAATACAGATGGCGATAATTCTTATATCCTTAGCGTCCACATGACGTCCTTTAAGTAGAATATTATAAATAAATATAGACAGTTGCATTTGTATTTAATTCAGGTATCTTAAAATTCTCTTACATGTATTTCTGGGTCTATCCGTCGTCAGAGAGACTTGTAAGAAGACTGGTACTAAATAAAAACGCACCGGGTAGTATGGCAACTATAGCAAAATACATTATACTCCCTCTATAATGAAAATGGTTATTACGAGGTTTCGCTTATAATGTGGTACAGAAATTTGTATTGAACTATAACCCTCTAAACGAGGCAAATTTGGTTATAACGAGAGAAAATAAGATCGAAAACGTGTTTTTTACGTTTTTAATTATGATAGATAGAATAATACTGGATAATTGCAGTCAAAAAGTACGGTGTTCTTCCAATTGCAGAAGCAATAGTTTATGTTATCCTTGAAAATACGCTTTATACCTTATGTAGTTGGACAAAAAATTGTAACAGATTTTTTGTTTTAACGTATATCATTGACAATAAAAGTAAGCATTTAGTTTTTTCAAAATCTTCATTTATCTCTTCTAACGAGATAATTAGTCTGTCATTTCAGTTCTCGTTATAGAGAGAGCCTAGTGTAATTACCAAAGTATGCTTTTAACGACCTCTCACGAGGAAAAATGGAATAGAATAGAATTTTGTTTATAAGTAGCTATATGGAGTGTATTTGTTTGATTTTAGGTACACTAAAACGCCACGCAGTGTCTTTGGCGCAACTACCCCCACCCATCGAAAACGAAACGGACGAAAAAGAAGAGTTTTGCTTGCCGCCGCCCCCGGAGTTTGGCGAGAACAACCCCAATTTTAGCGACGTCGTGGTGGCACCTCCGCCACAGTTCAGTGATAACCGGCAGATTACTAGAGTGCGGATAGTCGGCGCAGTACCAAAAGGCACATTAGCAGTCAATACGCAACCGAAACTGAAACAAAATCGACTTCACAGTCAGTGAACCTAAAAGGCTGACTCTACACATCAATGTCGTTTTTTACATTACACTTTTTTACGATTTAATACTCAATTTTTGATATTCAATAACAATTACATGCAGAGCTTTTATTAAAAATCGGTTATTTATTTTTATATATACGGCCACTCGTTTCTTTTTAGATATAAAAAAATTGAATACGCAAACTCAATAAAAACAGAATATTTTGTGTCTACTTATAAAGTTGTCTTTTTGTTTTCGAGTCAATTTTTACCTCCACGATACTTTTTAGTTATGCTTACTTTTCTTTATCGTGTCTGCACATCTCATTCATAAAATTTCGACCCAGCATATTCAGGAGTTCCTAGCATATATACTGTTCCTAGTTGTTACTTTCCCTCTCGTTTTTATGCAATGTTGTCTGTAGGTGAGGGACCAGTCCAGAGTTACTCCAAGATATATAGGTTGGTTTGTGTGTATATATATAAACATATATATGTTTATCCCAAATCTATATATATAAACCCATATATAGATTTGGGTTTTAGAGGGATTGGGTCTCAGAGAATTCTGCAGGTAGTACGCTGTCATTATTTTTAAGGCAGTTTCGAGTTTCTCCTTCACTTCTTCAAAACTATTCCCTTGAGTACATATCGCAAGATCGTCAGCATAGAGGAAGTGCTTGGTTTCGGTCGGAGTAGGTTGGTCGTTTGTGTATATATTGAAGCGCATTGGTGCTAAAACACTTCCCTGTGGAAGGCCGTTTTTGAACTCTCTACCTACTTACTTTACTCTCCAGAAAAAACCTCTATTTTGCAGTAAGGAATATACGACCTTTCCCAGATGGTGGTCATTGAGAGAGTCACATAATTTGCGGAGCAATGTTTTGTGCCTTACTGTGTCATAGGCTGCTGTCAGATCTACAAAAGCAACTCATGTTATGAGTTTTCCTTCAAAGCCCTCTTCAATGTGTTCTGTTAATGCGAGGACTTGACCAGTGCAAGATTTGCCAGGTCTGAATCCTTGTTGTGGAATGAGGTGCTTGTCGACATTTTTTTCTATTCTGGCGAGTATGAGTCTCTCGTATAGTTTAAAAAAGTGACACAATATCGAAATGGGTATGTAGGTACTGGGGGTTTCTGGGCCCTTTCCTGGTTTTAACAAGGCTATCACTCCAAAGTTCCTCCATGATTTTGGAATTTTGCAGGTTTTGTAGAACTTGTTATAAAATTTTAAGATCCAGTTTTTTGCTCCTAGGCCTAGATGCTTTATTTGTTCACTGCATATATCATCCACACCTGCAGCTTTCCCGTTTTTAACCTGTTCATCCTGTCGTGGACTTCTTTTAGTACAAAAGGAATTCCTAGGTGGTTTGTCTCGGAATCCAATCTTCTGCTAGTGTTTGGATCCTAATATCGGTTAGTAGTTCTTTCATTCGTAAGGAGTTGAGCAGCGACTTGGTTTGCTGTAACCTTGCAAGTTTATTTATGTTCTTTTGGATCACCGCTGTTTTTTTACAAGGTTCCATACTATTTTGCTACTATGTGTCATGTCCATTTTTCCAGTTGAGCAGCGACTTGGTTTGCTGTAACCTTGCAAGTTTATTTATGTTCTTTTGGATCACCGCTGTTTTTTTACAAGGTTCCATACTATTTTGCTACTATGTGTCATGTCCATTTTTCCAGTGTCTCTAGACAACTTGAGTGTCTCAATCAAGTCGGTCTGGCTTGACTTAGCAGTTGGAGTAGTACTGCTCCGCAGTCAACTGTTTCTTGGCTAAAAGGGTCAGTGAAATAGAGGACATCATCTAATGATAGTTTTTCTAGACACATTTTTGAGTAACTCTACAAATTTTTCGTAGTTCTCTATTTTGGTTCAAGACGTAGCAGTTCAGAATCTCCTCCTTTTTAGTTATAGAATTTTATACAGTGTATCTGTAAAGTATGGAATAAATTCGATATTTCCTAAATGAAAAGCCTTTTTAAAAAAATTTCTTATTCTACATTTTACAAGAAAATTTCATTATAAAAAATAATACACATTAAGGTGATGTCATATACCTTTTTTTTTAATGTAACACCCTGTATTTTAGGACATTTTTATATCGATAAAAATAAGCTGATTTCAAAAACGTATAATACGGGGGGGGGGGCTAAAGGATAAAATTATTTGGTTTTCACCTCTTACAATCCCGTTTTGTCAGTGGCGTTGTAACGTCATCTGTTACTATTACGTCACCTGTTATGACTAGATGAGAAGCCTACGTCTGTTTACTACTTCCCTTCAAATGTCACTATTATAACAATAACAGTTTAAAAGATACGAAGGGGGGAACGGACTTTTGACTAGCATTGTATACATCGTATATAATATATGTAGCACAAAAATAATACTGTATTATTGATAGCATTTTTCAAAATGTACACCGACATAGTAACGGTGGTTTAGCAGGCTACAAAACTTTTACTTCATGCATTCAAAACGTACTATACAACTACATTTTCTAATTAAATTAAGTTTTTAAAATGATACTTACTTTAAGTAAGTATAAACTTTTAATTTTTAATTTTATTTATTTTTTAATAAAAGCTGTGCACGATCGTAGTTACTACCTAGGTCTCACAATTATCTTATACAAAAGTAGTATCTACCAAATAAATATCCATTGCTCTAATTTTAGCAGCGAACACTGTTAACTTCAGTGTCAACTGCACGATATGCTTCAATCTATTCGTTCAGTATTTTCAGAACAGAAGACTTGTAGGATTTTTTTAAACTAAAAGGTAAAGAAGATAGTTTTTAACGGAATAGCTGTAAACGGCTGATGCTAAATGTTTTATTGAATGAAGTATTTATTTATGCTGATTCGGGTCAGTATTGGATTAGTAAATACGATATTTTCCGAAGAAGGAGTCAGTTTCGAAAATAATGGATTGTAATTGCACATTGCACATTTTTATTATTTTTGAAATTGACAATTTCTTTATTTGCTGGTTGTTACAACGCCTTTGAAGACTGTATCTGATTCACATGCTACTCTACTTAATTTACGATGACTTTCCTTAACACTTTTAACAATAACCTGGTTGATTGATCTATATATTTTCTTTAGAGTCTTCTTTTAAGATCTAAAAATAGCCAGGAGTTACTAGGAACCAAATCTGTGGAATTTGGTGGATGTGCAAACAATTTATATTTCAATCGTATATTTTTGTCATTATTGGCACTTTTTAAACGAACAATGTATTTTTCTTCATTTGTGATTATTTATTCACAACGTCTTTCTTCAAATACACCAAAAGCACTATATAATATTCGCTTTTGACTGCTGTTACTTCCTAAAGGAAATCTATAAACAAAATATCCGGATGGGAGATCATTTCTGCACCTTCAATTGCTTTGGACGTCTTTCACCTGCAGATATTAAATTATCTGAGAGTCCATTTCACTTTTGAATAAAGTGGTATATCCAAATCTACTCAATTGTGTATCAATATAATCCATTGGCTTATATTGATGTAAAAACTCTACTAAAAAAAGACTAATAAGAACGACTAGAAAGACTAGACGTCTACTAAGAAATCCTGCTAAGAAAACTAAAACACTCTATATATTACGAGCGAGATTAATTGGATTTTGACTGGCGTCTGCTTCAAAGTTATACTAAAAAAAAACCAGGCACCTTCTATACTACAAGCGTCATCTATTGGATATTGAGGAAGTATGCTGAAAAATGATGCTAAGAAGAGAAGCACCTTGAATGATTTCACTTTTGAGTGAAGTGATCAATTAAAATCTCACCCATTGCCTTTTATTGACATAAAAACTCTGTTTATTTGGTACATATGTAAATATATTGTCTGCTAGATATTTTCACCTTATCTACTGTCATTTTGTGGGCTTTTTTTATGTTTTTTGGGACAACTGCTGGCTTTTGGGCGACCCTAGTGAGCATTGTTTTAAAAATTGCAAAATGTACTTTCATTAAATCACTTCCAGTTCGGACATTAAGTGATTTGGTACATAATGGTAGAACTGCCATTATTTCTAATATGTACATATTATCTTTATATTTAGTAACTTCTGAGTTCTTGATTTTCGGAGCATCTACATTTTTCTAAAGTCAAGAGAATGACCATTTTCTTCAATTTTTTTTTTTTTAAATTGTTTCTACTGCAAACTCTTGTCTAGACTTCACAATTTAGAAAAGATAATACAAATGGGGTAATTCTATTTGAGTATTTGTTGATAAGCCCTACAAATGGGGACAACAAGTGGCGAATCAGATATAATTATGAAATACGTAATATAGCTACAGCACCTTCAATGAACAGGCTATATATTTAGAATGGAAGAAAACATGCTTCCAAAAAAACTGTTGAATGCAAAAATGCAGGGAAAGAGACCTATTGGAAGAAGTCGCAAGAAACTTCCTTAGTAGTCGATCGTGGAGGAGAATGGCTATATACCTTAATGAATGAAGAGGTTTACGCATGAAGGCCAGGGATCCAATTGGGCTGTAGAGACAGATTATGAAAGTGTTTCTTATTTCACCTTCAAAAGGCCTGTTGTAACGACCTGCCTCTATTATATATAGCTAATAAAACTGTTATTGGGTTGCGAAACCGAAACTTTTTTTAATCCAAAGCTTCTTTTTGCCTTAATCAAGTCTTTGTATTTAGAAACATTCCGTCAGTTATATTATATTCATCCTGCCAAAATATATATTAATTAGAAACGATATTTTTGGACTTATTGAAGTGTTCATATATATTATTGTTGTTGGTTAATGTAATTGTGATTTGTTTTAACTTTTGAATTCAGTTTGTAATACTTGAGAAGTTGGCTTTGTTTTAATACGCTATACAATGACGTCAAATTTAAATGTTTGAGGTTAGGACGAAATTATAATTCTAAACAAACATAATAATCTACTTGAAACTTTTGAGATTACTTACTAGTTTTTTCGATTCCCAAACATTGTTTAGTCAATAATTTCTTAGTTCTGTCAGTTATACAGTAGTTAAAATGTTTTTCTAATAAAGTCTTGCAATAGAATATCCTAAATATAATTAAAACCGTTTTTTTAGATTGATGTGCTAATGAAATAGCTTGAATGCCATTTATTGAGAATGAAATTGTCGTTTTGCTAGCTGTAGTAATAAATGAGTTATAAAATTGCTCGAGAACCAAGTTTTTGGTAAAATTATTATCTGAGTGATTATTTGAATTACCGATGTACATTTTTTCGTAATAGTTTTATTTAGAGCAATCATCAGTTCGCTTTCAATCAATCATAAACTGCTTGACTATCAAGATCTATTATCATTTTTCTCTTTAATTAAAATTTACCATTGTTATCTTTACTATATACCCATTGTATTCGAAGTACTATAATGACAAAGGTATTTTGAACCGCGAGCTTGAGGCACCAAGAGACAGGCGTGGATATTATACCTTCTAAGCAG